TTATGGAAACTGGAATAGGCAACCAATTCCTGATCAAAACCCCTAAAGCCCATGCCATAAGAGATAAGATAGACAAGTGGAACCTCATCAAACTGAAAAGCTTCTGCAAAGCAAAAGAAATCATTAATATAGTGAGGAGACAGCCCCCAGAAAGGGAAAAATATTTGCCAACTGTTTATCTGACAAAGGCCTGACATCCAGGCTCTACAAGAAACTCAAATGGGCCAAAAGGAAAAAAAACCCAACAAAACAAAACTAACAGCCCTATTAAAAAGTGGGCAAAATATATGAATAGACACTTCTCAAAAGAAGACATACGAGCAACCAACAGATACATGAAAAAATGCTCAGCCTCACTAATCATCAAAGAAATGTGAATCAAAACCACACTGAGACACCATCTAACTCTAGTTAGAATGGCCATCATTTATAACTCAAAAAAAGGAACACTTCTACATTCTTGTTGGGAGTGTAAATTAGTGCATCTTCTGTGGAAAACAGTTGGTGATTTCTAAAAGATCTAGAAATCAACCTTCCATATGACCCAGCAAATCCCCTTCTGGAAATATACCTGGAGGAACTCAAATCATCCTACAAAAAAGATACCTACAAAAAACATGTACACACATGTTTATTGCAGCATTATTCACAATAGCAAAATGTGGAACCAACCGTTCTACCCATGAAAATTGGACTGGGTAAAAATAACGTGGTGTATATACATGATGGAATATTATGCAGCCATAAAGAACAAAATTATTGTTTGCAACAACTTGGGTAGATTTAGAGTTTATTATACTCAGTGATCTATTGCAGAAACAAAGAGCTGAGTACCACATGTTCTCACTCATAAGTGAATCCTGAACATTTATCATAATACTATAAGAAAGGGGTTGGCAGTAGTGAAACACTGCCAGGGGAGGGAAAGAGGAGGCATGTAACAGTAAGGGTACTTGATCCCTAACCAGGCAAACTGAGTACCAATGGGAGGCCCAAACTTGACCTCTACAATGACTACTTATGTACCTAATTCTGAATTGTACCCCACATCTTTAAAGTAAAATTTAAAAAAAGAAAAAACAGACAAAAACTAGAGAGTCATTAAGGAGGTGAAATTGAGAGGACCAGATAGCTGCTGGTGTGTAGAGTGAGGTGGTAGAGTATGTAATAATGATCCTAGGTTTTGGCTTGGACAGCTAAAGCCTTATGGCAGGATGATGCCATTTTTTGAACAGGAAACACAAGGAGGAAGAGTAAGTCTGATGAGTGAAGAGATGTTTGTTTCATTTTGGACATATATAATTGACAGGTGACAAAATCTGACATTCATAGTTTTTAAAAATTAATTAATTAATTAATTAATTATAGAGATGTGGGGCACAATTCAGGGTTAGGTATATAAACATTAATCATGCAGGTACTCTTGTTGATGAGGTATGTCCCTCCCTCCCCTAGCAATTTCCCTCAACTGCCAATCCTATCCCCCCTTCCCTGACTGTTTTCCACTACTGCCAATCACTTTCTTATAGCATTATAATTGTTCAAGGTCCATTTATGAGTGAGAACATATGGAACTCAGTTCTTTGTTTCTGTGATAAATCACTGAGTATGATTGACTCCAAATCCATCCAAGTTGCTGCAAGGTCCATATATGTCTTTCTTTATGGCTGCATAATATTCCATCATGTATAAAATGTACCACCTTTTTTTTAATCCAGTCCAGCTTCAATGGGCAACACGGTTGGTTCCACGTTTTTGCTATTGTGAATAGAGCTGCAACAAACATAAGTGTACAGGTATTTTTGTCACAGAGTGATTTGATTTCCTCCAGGTATATTCTTAATAGGGGAATTGCTGGGTCATATGGAAGGTCCATTTCTAGTTCTTTCAGAAATTGCCACACTGTCTTCCAAAGAGGTTGCACAGTCTGCATTCCCACCTGCAGTGTAGAAGCATTCCTTTTTCTCCACATCCTCACCAGCATCTGTCGTTGTTTTATTTATTTATTTATTTATTTATTTATTTTGAGTTGGAGTCTTACTCTGTCGCCCGGACTGGAGTGCAGTGGCCGCTCCCGGCCACCACAGCCTTGACCTCCTGGGCTCTGGCGATCCTTCCGCCTCAGCCTTCCAAGTAGCTGGAACTACAGGTGCGCACTACCACGCCCAGCTCATTTTTTTTTTATTTATTGTAGAGATGAGTTCTTGCCAAATTGTCCAGGCAGGTCTCGAACCCGTGGACTCAGGCAGTCCACTCACCTCAGCCTTCCAAGGCGTGGGATTACAGGCTGAGCCACCGAGCCCGGGTTTGTTTTATTAAAATAATGGCCATTCTTACAGGTATTAGGTGGTATCTTAATATGGTTTTGATTTGCGTTTCTCTGATGATGAGTGAGGCTGAGCACTTTTTCATGTGTCTGTTGGTTGGCATTCATAGTTTTAAGGAATTAAACAAGGCCAAGTTTCAGGGTGGATAATAGAGAGTATTACATCTTGAGTTTATGCTTGGTTGATTCCAATCCCTGATGGATTTGCAAAAATAAAAAATAAAAAAAAAGGAGGCACTATAGTATCTGTTTGCTGGGAATCTTGGATCTTTGTCAGCCATTCACTCAAGGAATACCCTTCTTTCTGCAAGCTCCTTTCATGAGAAATATACACTGAGAACTGCAAAATCATTTGTGGCTACTACACAGAGCTGCAGAAGTTGAGCGTGGTCTTGCACCAGGTAGTTCCTAATCCTGGATGAACATTAGAATAACCTGGGGAAGCTTTTAGGAAAAAAACACAAATTCCTGAACCCCATCCAAGATCAGTTAAATTAAGAAATCTCGAGTTGATTTCAACGTGCAACCAAGATCAAGAGTTACTGCCTTATGTAGAGAACTCAACAAAAGTCGATTCTCCTTATGGAATGGTGGAGAGATGTTTCTGTGAAGCGGTAGCCAAGACACCACTCAGGGGTGGGCTCACCAAAATCAGTACCTTAAGGGGAGAGGAAGATTCTGACACAGAAGTTGAGGTTAGCAGACCAAAGGGCCAGGTAGAGAGAATGAACTCAGAAAGGGAGATAGTAGGTTGGGTTCAAAGAGTTCAATTAGAAGTGGGCACATCATCATAAAATTATAAGCCCAGAAAGATTATTTAGATATTTATTCATGTTCTCTCTCTTTTATTATTTTTTATTTGAGTTGGAGTCTCACTCCGTCACCCAGACTGGAGTGCAGTGGCCGCTCCCGGCCACCTCAACCTCGACCTGCTGGGCTCTAGCGATCCTTCCGCCTCAGCCTTCCGAGTAGCCGGAATTACAGGCATGCGCTACCACGCCCGGCTGATTTTTTTTTATTTATTGTAGAGATGAGGTCTCGCTGCCCAGGCAGGTCTTGAACCTGCAGACTCAGGCAATCCACTCACCTCAGCCTCCCAAAGGCGCGGGGTTACAGGCTGAGCCACTGAGCCTGGCTTCGCTCTCTTTTTTTTAAAGTTGGAGTCTCATTCTGTCACCCAGACTGGAGTGCGGTGGCATGGTCACAACTTACAGCAGCCTCAACTTTCTGGGCTCAGGCAATCCTCCTGCCTCAGCTTTCCAAGTAGCTGGGACTACAGGTGCACTCCACCATGCCTGGCTCTTTTTTTTTTTTTTTTTTTGGTAGGGACATGATCTCGCTATGTTACCCAAGCTGACCTTAAACTCCTGGGTTCAAGCACCCCTCCTGCCTTGGCGTCCCAAAATGCTGGGATTATAGGTGTGAACCACTTCACCTAGTCTCATGTGTTATCTTGGGCATTAAATTTTTAAAATGTGAATTCTTGATGAACTTTGAACATAGAGATTTACTTAATAAATGTGCTAGAAATGAATCTGTGGGGACAGGAAGTAAATCAGTGATTACCAGGGATGAGGTAGAAATGGTGGGACATGGACAGAGTAGCAGGGAAGGATTACAGAGGGCCAGGAAGAAACATTTGGGGTGATATATTCATTGCCTTGATTGTGGTAATGGTTTCATAGGTGTATATGTGTATGTTAAAATTTGTCAAATTATACACTTTAAACATGTGCAGTTTATTGTGCATAAATTATTTCTCAGTAAGCCTATCATTTAAAATAAAGATGGAGAAATGCGTTAGACCTCATTTATCCAATATTAAAATTATTTTGGAGGCAGTTTGCACTGGGCACTAAAATTAGTCTTATTAGTTTTAGTTACATAGAATCACAAAGAGTACCTGGTCCTAAACCAGGCGTAGTGAGGGCCAGTTGCAGGTCCAAATTTCACATGCACACAAACTGCTTGTGCAGCTATTCCTGACTTGTACCCTACTTATCTATTTAAAAATTGCATATTGTAAATTATGTAATATAACAGAATAAAAATTACATAAATTATAATTATAATAATAATTTTAAATATAATATAAAGATTTATGGTATCTTCTGATCACCAAAATTGATTCCAAATAACTTAATCATTTTCAAAAATTAAATGCATCTTTGAGAGGCAAATATCTGCTGCCACAAAGAAAAACAAACAGCTCTTATGGGAATTAACGACTTAGAAGGGAGCCTGGTGGATTTAATTAGAATGGCTTAGACTTGTTTTAGAATGAGTGTTTCGGTGAAAGAGTGCAGAGGTTGGTCAGTTTGAGAGAGGGATACTGGGGTCATATCACTATCTTTCTTTTTCTTTTCCTTAGAAAGGAAATGCCTGAAGTTTAAAGGACCAGTTCAGTTCTAGAGCAGAGCAAGTCCTGCTGTATACATAATTTATTAACATGTAGATGTTTTATGTTGATTTAAAGCCTTTATGTTGCATGATTGCTTTCCCCCTGCAGTTCCTTGCAGTGGTAGCCAAGACACCACTCCGAGCTCTGTCCTTGTGCCATAACTCTCACTCCGTGGCTGTATTGGATGAAGACGAATAATTATGTGAGCAGCATGACTCTCTGACGAACAAATTAAGCCCGATATTTATTAGTAATAATTGCTTTCTCTTACAGTGGATAATGAAAAACTGCAGGGTGGATTCATGTTGTGTTTCCTGGATGATGGATGTGGCATGAACCCTGGTAAGTTAATTATCGAGATACCTAACTGGCTGTTAAAGGAAACAGCCTGAAAATCCACCAAATAAGTAAAAATAAATTGAGCTATCTATGCAAAAAAAAAAAAAAAAAAGGTATGGAGCTATGAGGGACAGTAAACCCCAGACTTAACTTATTGCTGAACTTTTCAGATTTAACTCCTTTAAGTGGCAGAGGAAATGTATTGTAACCATCTAAACTGAGACAAAAAGGGAATGTAAACAAATATTGTCAGAAAGATGAAGGGCAAATGGTACTGACTGTAAGAAAAAAGCATCTGGGAGTGAATGGAAAACAGACAACTGAATGGACTCTGAGACTGATTTTAACTCATTCTTGCAGGTATTCTTGCAAAAGCCCCAGGTAGTTTCCTGTGCCTTTAGGCTATTTTAAATTTTCTGCTTAACCTTGAGGTAGAGGTCACCACTCCTTGTTCTGAGCAGTTTGTTTTTTTCTCTGCATGTTCACAAGTTTAGTTGCTTCAGATGAATGTTTCCCCTCATAACGAGTGTATGAGAGGGGACTCAAAAGAAACCATAATTATATTTTCCAGGGCGGGCCCTTGTAGTATAGGCATCCTTAGCCATGTAGGTGTTCTAGGAACCCATTGGTATCAGTGTACCAGCTAGCGTTGTGAAAGGCTGTGTTCAGCTTCACTGAATTTTTTTGGCAGTTCTTTCATCATGTTTGCCTGTTTCAGGATGGATAATTTATAAGTGCACCTACCCACATTGTCCTAAGTGTTCAACAGTTTTTGGCCAAAACCAGCATGATCCCTGTGCCCCACCCTCCCTAGTCACCTGATCTCACCCCCCCTTTTTTTTGTTTCCCTGATGAAAAAAAGTCCTCAAAGGGAAAACGTTTTGCCTATGTGGAAGAAATGAAACAAAAAAACAACAAAAACACTAAGAGGCATCAAAATTGACAAGTTTAAAAACTGAGAAGCAGAAAAAGCATTTCGATAAGTGTATTGCATCAAACAGAATAATTTGAAAGTGACAGAAATTTAAAAATGTAAAAATAAATAATACAATTTTTTATAAGCAAATTCCTGTTTGTTTGCCCCCCCATATCTACAATATATTTCATCACTTATCTTGGTGTATTCAAGGTTAACACAAAGCCAGCACTTAATAGGTGCACAGTATCTGTTCGCTGTGAAATTCAAATGTTATTCTTTCTGATGAGGGGCTTGAGTTGTTTTAGATACTTTATTTCTGAATTCTTTAAATACTTTATGTCCCTCCAGCTAGAGGTTTTTTGTTGTTGTTGTTTTGTTTTTTTGTTTTGTTTTGTTTTTTTAAAATAGAGTCTCACTCTGTTGCCCAAGCTGGAGTGCCGTGGTGTCATCATAGTACACTGTAACCTCAAACTCTTGGGCTCAAGTGATCCTCCAGCCTCCTAAGTAGCTGGGACTATAACTGCGTGCCACCACACCCAACGAATTTTTTAGAATATTTTTTGTAGAGATAGTGTCTTGCTGTGTTGCTTAGGCTGGTCTCAAACTCCTGCCCTCAAACAGTCCTTCTACCTTGACCTCCCAAAGTACTGGGATTACAGGTATGAACCACTGACCATGCCAGGTCCAGTTAGGGTTTCCTGACCACTAGGTTTCAAAAATAGTGAGAGAATTCAAGCAATATGTAACTGTTCAGGTCAGTTCCACCCCCAGGGAAAGGATGATCATCAGTATAGATATTGATGTGCTGATACAGGCTGAAAATACAAAGTAAAGTGATTAACTTCTTCCGGTTTTGAAGTAACCCTGTGGGTCTGAATAGTCAAATAATATTTATTAGCAAGGTTAGACAATATTGGACTATTCCACCTAGTTATTTTCCTAATTTTGACTTTACCAGATCATTTTGATTAAAAGAATTGTGGGTCCTTTAGTGTTTAACAAAATGAGAATGGAAAGAGTTTGTAAAAAAACCACACTGAGAAACAGTTTAATTTTTTACTTCTAGCCTGAATGTTAAGTTTATTTTCCTGAATTTGTAAAGTGAATGACTATGTATGATGTGTTCTAAGGAATTCCTTAGTGAAAGAAAAATGTAACGCCTTTTACATGATCAAAGCACAAACAAATGCCAAATATTCAGACCTTCAGAAACAACTTGCACTTCAGTTTATTAATATAATAGTATTTTAAAAAGCACACTGTTAGCCAGGTGCATGCCTGTAATCCCAGCACTTTGAGAAGCTGAGAAGGAGAATTGCTTGAGCCCAGGAGTTTGAGACCAACCTGGTCAACATAGTAAGACCTCATCTCTACAAAAACTCAAAAAAAAGATTAACTTGGTATGGTGGCACATGCCTGTAGTCCTAACTACTTGGGAGCTGAGATAGGAGGATCTCCTGAGCCCAAGAAGTTGAAGTTGTACTGAGCCATGATTGTGCCACTACACTTCAGCCTGGGTGACAAAGTGAGACCCTATCTCAAAACAAAAACAAAAAACAAACAAAAAAACCCACACTATTGTTTAGAGAAATCAGTTTTTAATTAGCATTGAGAATCAAGAAATCAAGTAGTAATAAATTAGAAGGAAGAGTTTACCTGATGGCTGAAAATAGAAAAATATAATCTGTTGTCCAAACTGAGGTAAATCAACCTTGACTCACAGAGTATAACTGCAGTAATTTCCTGTTTGTTTGTTTTATCTCAAGTCATTTCCCACAGAGTATCCTGAGTGGATTTTTTCCTTCTCACATAAATCTTCTCATATCATTCTCCTACTGAAAACCCTCAGTGGTTTTCCACTGTTTAAGAATAAAATTCATACCCATGGCATCGCTTCCAAGATCTCGCGTTATATGACCCTATACACCTCTTTGGCCTTTTCTTGGTCCGCCAGCTTCCTTCCTTACAGTACTCCACCCACACCTGGCTTGCCTCTCAACATTCGAATCTTATCTCAAATGTCAGCCTTTTGAAAGTCGTCTTCTTTGGCCATTCTTCTTCAGGCCACTCTCCTGTTGTCTATCATATTACCCTGGTTTTGGTTTCTTCACTTACTACTCCCAGTCAGAATTGATCTCATTAGTTTACACTTCTTTCCATCCGTTTCTCTTACCACGTCATTACAATGTGGAGGGCAGGGGCCAGAACTGGTCTTTTTTCAGTGTTTTATCTCCATGTCCAGAACACTGACAGCCATGCATGGAAGTTCAAGTGGTGTGTAGGAATACCTCGGGCTTTGGTATCCATTCTTACAACTCTGGGTTCTAATTCTGGCTGCAGCATTCATCAGCTCTGTGATCTTGGGCAGGTTTCTTGAACTCCTTAATCTTACATTTCCTCATCTGCAACATGCAGATCCTAATACTAATATCTTCCTTTTTGTTTAAATGTTAAACAGATTATGCATGTAGGTATATAACACAGTACCTATCACATACTAAACAACCAATAAATGTTAACTATGTTGTCATTATGGATACCCTCACCTAATGCCTAAACACCTTGTAAGGACATGTTATAGAAAGACCAGTTAGTTTTGGATAAGCAGGATGTTTAGTGGCCTTTTCATACCTCATACCTGGTGTCACTGAGCATGTCTGTACCCCAACAGACACAGGATCCTCAGGACAGTTCTAAAGCATGTATTCCAATAGGCCAACAAGAACATTCTTTGTTATGGAGGTCGGTATATTCTGAAGTCTAGAGGATTCCTCTTTAAAATACCAGAATGCTCTGGAGAGATGACTGAAAGTGTGAAATGATCAACCCTTCTCTCCCTGGTAGTATGAGAGCAGAAGCCATTCTGCTCTAATAGTCTTTCATGGGCCTCGATAAGGGCCAAGTCCATGGGGAAATTACTAGTGGTACAAATAATTGTAATATAAGTTATTAGCAATTCTCAAGTGCCAAGTGTTGTGTCCAGGATTTCTCAAATACATCATCTTATTGACTTTGTTTTATTTATCTTCATCAAAAACACTGTGATGTATTAGTAGTTTCCTTATAGAGAATTTGGAAATTAAGGCTCAGAGTTTTAAACTATACTCGAGATCACATGGCTAGATCTGTCTGACCTAGTTCAATGTACATTTGTTTCTTGATATTTTGGGGGGATTGGTTTCCGAAAGTCTCTAGGATACAGGAATCCACGATGTCCAAGTCCTTTGTTATAAAGTCCTTTGACATAGTATTTGCATATTACCCATGCGTATAGATCCTCCTGTATACTTTAAATCATCTCTAGATTCCTTGAAATACATAATGCAACGTAAATGCTATGTAGGCAAAACGCTATGGCTCCTGCCTGTAATTGCAGTGCTTTGGGTGGTTGAGGGTGGAGAGACTGCTTAAAGCCAGGAGTTTGAGACCAACCTGGGAAACACAGTGAGACCCTGTCTCTACAAAAACAAAAATTAGCCAGGCGTGGTGGTGCATGTCTATAGTCCCAGCTACCTGGGGCTGAGATGAGAGAATCTCTTGAAACCGGAGTTCAAGGCTACAGTGAGCTGTGATTGCGTTACTGCACTCCATCCAGCCTGGGCAACAGAGCCAGACCTCATCTCTAAAATAAATAAGTAAATAAATATTGTGTAAATAGTTGTTATACTTAATTGTTTAGGGAAAAGTAACCCAAAAAAGTTCATTCATGGTCAGTCCAGATGCAATTTTTTTCCTAATATGCTTAATCCAAGGTTGATTGAATCCACAAATGTGGAACCATGGATATGGAGGACTGACTGTAACACTATTAAGATCCTTGTCAAGGATTATGGATCCGGAAAAGAATACTTGTCTTTGGACTGACCCAAAAGCTGTGAATTTGTCCTGACGTCCTGAGATATGTGTGAGGTCCTGTCAGCTGGACCTCAGGCCAGTGCTCATGACTCTTCCTAACTACTTTAAAAGTTTTTGTCAATTACAGAGGAAGCTTCAGACATCATTTATTTTGGAACATCCAAAAAACGGCTATCAACCTTGAAGTTCATTGGGCAATATGGCAACGGTCTTAAAAGGTGAGCATGTTTTTCCCCTTAAGGCATACATTATTGATACTGGGTTAAAGACTGTCTTACACAGAACACTATAGGCAAATGAAGCTTTGAAAAGAATATAAACTTGGGATAGATCCTACCTTGTTTTGAACTGTCCATACCTATAACTGACTTGTATCTGTACAACATTTTTGAAATTAATTTTTACCTATAATAAGGTAAATATTGCTTCAGGAATTTCTGAAGCAGTATACTTGGACTTGAGAGCTTTGTTGCCTCTCTGCTTCTGTTTTTTCTCAAAGTGTATTTTAGCCTAGGCGTTGTGTTTACAGCTTATATTTTTGGTACTTAACGTTGAAAGATGAGAACGCTAGGCTCACTTGTGCGGCTCCTGCCAGGGCCAGACGATTGTTCTTTTGAGCCCCGGATAGACCTTTATCCCCAACAGCCAAGTCTCAAGCAAGAGTGTTGAGCTGGATCACTTCAAATTCTTCTACTCTGCTTCAAGGAAAAAAGCATCAGGATGTCTGTGCCCTCCTGATGATGGGTCAGCAAAATGGGTTGTTGAAAAGAGTACCCTGTTACGGTACACAGTAGTTGTTACCTGCCTATTGCCCACCTGTTTCTTCTTTTTTAGTATATGAGATGTAAACCATTATGTTCTTTATTTTTAATGTAGTGGGTCCATGAGAGTTGGAAAAGACTTTATTCTTTTTACGAAGAAGGAGGAAACGATGACCTGTGTGTTTTTTTCTCAAACGTTCTGTGAAAAAGAAGGTCTTAGTGAGGTAAGATTTGAGGTTTGTCTTCTATTCCCACAGCAAGGGTGATGCTTATATTTGCCCTCTCAGGAGGTGAAGTTTGTCCTATGTTCTTTCTGCTATGATATAGAAATTGCAAAATAATGTGTTTGGGAAATGGAGAGATAGTGGCTGATTCTGGTGTCATCAGAGACTTTTCTTGAGAACTTCATTTTCATTATCCATGTGCCCAGATCTCCCCAAAATAAGTGACTCCCTTAGGCGTGGAAGAAACCTACAAAATCTTTCTACCATTTATGACATATATATGTTATCTTTTTAACATTTGTTTATTTTTAGTTCAGCTTTAGGGGAACAAATAGTTTTTGGTTACATGGTTGCATTGTATAGCGGTGAAGAAGTCTGGGCTTTAAGGGTACCCACCATTCCTGCCTGTGCACATTGTACTGGATAAGGGATTTTTCATCCCTTCCCCTGACCCCCTTCTGCATCTCCAATGTCCATTCAATCATTCTGTATTCCTTTGCAGATCTTTACTTTAGCTCCCACTTGTGAGAACATGTGGTGTTTGGTTTTCTGTTCCTGGGTTTGTTCACTTAGGATGATGTTCTCCAGTTCCATCCAACTTGCTGCACATGAAAGTATTTCATTCTTTTTGATGGCTGCTTAGTATTCCATGGTGTATATACACCACATTTTCTTTATCCACTGATCAGTTGATGGGCACTTAGGTTGAGTCCACATCTTTGCAACTTGGAATTGTGCATGATGAACATGGGCTGTAGGTGTCTTTTTTATATAATGACCTCTGTTCCTTAGGATAGATATCTAGTAGTGGGATTGCTGGACCAAAGGGTATATATCTATTTCTAGTTCTTTGAGGAGCCTCTATAAATGGATTATCATTTTAAAAATAAATAGAATGTTGGAGTCAATGATTGGAATACAAAATATGAAGGGAGACCCGAAAAAACTCAGAATGTATTAAAAATTGTAGGCCGGGCATGGCGACTCATGCCTATAATCCCAGCACTTTGGGAGGCCGAGAAGAGAGGATTGCCTGAGCCCAGGCATTTGAGACAAATCAGGGCGACTTGGTAAGACCTCATCTCTACAATAAATCAAGGACAATTAGCTGGGTGTGGTCAGCTAATAGTTCCAGCTACTTGAAAGGCTGAGGTGGAAGGATTGCCAGAGTTCGGCAGGTCGAGGCTGAGGTGGCTGTGAGCATGCCACTGCACTCCAGCCTGGGCAATGGAGTGAGACCCTGACTCAAAAAAAACAAAAAAAATTGTGTATTTATTCTTACCTGTTTAAACTTCAGGCACCTTCAAAATACTCCCCATTTGATGCACTACATCCATTGAGATGCTTTTTTCACTGCTCAAAACAGTTTTTGAACTTGTCAATTTTGATACCTTTTAGTGCTTCTGCAGTTTTTTTATTTCACCTCTTCCACATGGGCAAAACATTTCCCTTTAAGGACTTTTTCATCCAGGGAAGCAAAAAAAGTCCCTCTGTGAGATGGGATTAATAGGGAGGGGTGGGGGCACAAGTGTCACGCCATTTTTGGTCAAAAACTGCTGAACACTCAGTGCAGCATGGGCAGGTGCACTCATCATGAAATGGGAAAACAAGTTGAAAGAACCCCCCCCAAAAAAGCACTGAAGCTGAACACAGCCTCTCACAACAGTGCTAACTGGTACACTGATGCCTTCCAGTCCACTGTGCTCAACATAGCTCTGTTGTAATTTCAGTTATGCCAGTTTTCAGGGTTTTACATTATAAGACTATACAAAAGGGGAACTCCCAAAAACCTGAATTATCTTTTGGAGGGTGGGTCCCTTGTAGTACAGGCTTCCCCCACTAGGCATGTGTTCTAGGAACCCATCAGCATCAGTGTACCAGCTAGAGTTATGAGAAACTGTGTTCAGCTTCAGTGTTTTTTGGAGATTCTTTCAACGTGTTTGTCCATTTCATGATGGGAAATTTACACGAACAGCTTGCCCACACTACTGTTAGTGCTCAGCAGTTTTTGTCCCCAAACGGCATGACCTCCTTGCCCCACTCTCCCTATTCACTCGATCTCACCCCAAGTGACATTTTTTTTTGTCTCCCCGGATAAAGAAAATCCTCAAAAGGAAACATTTTGCCGATGTGGAAGAGGTGAAACGACAACAAAAAAGCAGAAGCACTAAAAGGCATTAAAATTGACAAGCTCAAGAACTGTTTTGAGCAGTGAAAAAAGCATCCATAGGTGTATTGCATCAAACAGAGAGTACTTTGAAGGTGGCTGAAGTTTAAACATGTAAGAATAGATACACAATTCTTAGTAAATAAATTCGGTTTTGGGGGTTTCCCCTCGTGTGAACACTATTCGTATTATACCATGCCATAAATTACTATTTTTCCCTTTCATGCACAACTTTTTATTTCCCCTGGAATTAATAATTAACAGCTTAGTTTTCTCTGTATGCCACTATCACTAAATATTTGCTTGATTTCCTGTGTTCATGTCACTGTGTTAACTAACTCTGGTCTCAAACTGCCCTCCTGTCAGTTCTATCTTCCTGGTCAACTCTGCTCTGGAGCCTGATGGCAGTGCCATGGCTCACACTCCTGCTTCCTGCTGATGTTCGTTCAGCTGCCATCCTGAGATCTGTGCCTACCACCATTCTGGTTGTTCTCCTCCCCTCTCTTCTGTGTCAGATTTCAGATCATGAATCTCATGTCTTCCATAGCTTGCTCCTTCTTCTTGGTACGACATATTCTCCAGTAGCTTCCCGATCAAGGGTACACGGGAGGCCAAATATTGGAGACTTGACATGCATTAAAATGTTTTTACCAGCTGGGCTCCATGGCTCAGCCTGTAATCCCGCACCTTTGGGAGGCTGAGGTGAGTGGATTGCCTGAGCCCGTGGGTTTGAGACCCACCTGGGCAGCAAGACCTCATCTCTACAATAAATCAAAAAATCAGCCGAGAGTGGTAGCGCATACCTGTAATTCCAGCTACTCGGAAGGCTGAGGCAGAAGGATCGCTGGAGCCCAGCAGGTCGAGTCTGCGGTGGCCGGGATCAGCCACTGCACTCCAGTCTGGGCGACAGAGTGAGACTCCAACTCAAAAAAAAAAGGTTTTTACCTTACCGATACTTCATGATAGTTTTGCTCTATCTACTGTCTAGCTCCTAGAGGTGTTATTGAGAAGTCTCAAGCCATTTGCTTTCTTAATCTTGTATGTGACCCATTCCTTTTTTTTTTTTTTTTCCATCTGTACTTTTGAAGGTCAGAAAAATCTTTCTTTGTCTTCAGTGTTCTGCTTTCAATATTTTGCCTCTGGTCTATTTACACCTGTTGTGATGGTCACTTGTTGACTTTTTTTGATGTGCAAACTCATATTCTTCAATTCCGGGATAGTTTCCTGTAACATTTGATGATTATCTTCCATCTATATTCTTTTTTTCTCCTTTGACAACTCCTGTTTTTTCAGTTCTTGGATTCTGGAAATGATTTTTTAATTTTCTTAACTTTTCTGTCCTATTTTCTGTCTTTCGTATTTTTCTGGGGAATTTTTTTTTTTTTTCTGGAGATTTTTCTTCTTTTCTTAGATTAATTTTTTTTTTTTATTTTTTTTTGAGTCAGAGTCTCAACTGTCACCAAGGTGAAATGCAGTGGCACACTCACAGCCACCCCAGTGTCGACCTGCTGGGCTCTGGCGATCCTTCCGCCTCAGCCTTCCAAGTAGCTGGAACTACAGGCACGCGCTACCATGCCCAGCTAATTTTTTGTTTATTGTAGAGACGAGGTCTCGCCAAGTTGCCTGGGCTGGTCTTGAACACGCAGGCTCAGGCAATTCACTTGCCTCAGCCTCCCAAAGTGCTGGGATTACAGGCTGAGCTACTGAGCCTGGCCTGAATTTTTAATTTTACAGTCATGGGGTGCATGTGAAGATTTGCTATGAAGGTGAGGTTTAGGCTTCTGACCAGCCCTCTTCCTCTCAGTGATGGAGATGGTACCCAAGGGGTGGTTTAGAGTCTCTTATACCTCCTCCCTCCTTCTTCTGGGAGATTTTCTAACATTTATTTTTGAACTCTTTCATGAGATTTTTCTGTAGTCATATTCTTAATTTTCAAGAAGGTTTTTTTGTTTTCTCAATGTTCCTTTTTCAAAGATATCTAATTCTTGTTTCATGGGTGCAGTATTTTCTCTTGTAGTTCTGAGGACAGTAACAATGGCTGATTTTTTAATTCTCCCTTGAAATTTTCATCTTCCTTTTATGGTTTCTGTGTCTACTGAGTTGCTTTGTTTATGCTTATTTGGTCTCTAACATATTAAAGGTTTTTTTCTTAGTTGGCTGTTGATCCTGAACACTTTAAAGACTCATCCAGTAAGATGACGAGTAAAAGCTCTGAGACTGTGGGTGGTCCTTGGCAGCTTGAGTGTCACAATATGTGGTCTAACTGAGCTGTTTTACTGAAGAATCAGTCATTGTACTTACTAGGCTGGTCAGATTTCCCTGAGAAGACTCTTAAAGTCTTCTGCCTGCAGGCCTTCCCAGCATCTGAGATGTATTCTTCCCCTCAGTCCCTCTAATCTCTCTAAGGTGCCCTCAACAATGATGCCCAGCACATCCTGTAGTCCAGAAATGCATTGTTCTACTCTTTCCACATAATCAATATCCAGGGTCTGTGAGGGTTGAGAGAAGGCTGTTGCCAGAGATCTAGGTGCTATTTCTAGTCCTTCTCTCCCTCTACCCTACCTCCAGAGTTAACTCCTGTCATTAGCCTCCGAGCCTTCCAGGGTAGAGATTCTGGGTTGCAAATCAGGCACTCTTCTCTTTTCTGGCACGAGCTTTGGCTTGCTTTTCTTGGGTGTGCTGCCATCTGCTTTTCAACTTCTAAAATGCTGATTCAGTTGTTTCTTCTGCCATCCTGCCCATCTTTCGAGAGAGCTGAAGTACACTCCCTCTGTCTCCACATTCCACAGTGGTCTATTTAAAAATAAAACCATGCATATATGTATTTGTTGTATGTCTCTTCTTCATACAACTAGAATAAAGGAAGAAAATGAACTTTTACCTTTGTGTTTTGTATTTATCTGAAGAGTGGAATGAGTTAGGATCAGACAAAAGGATAATGGTTTTGTGCATTTCATAATAAATTGATGTGTTTTTAAAAAATAGGTTGTCGTTCCAATGCCTTCGTGGTTGACAAGAACCAGAGAATCTGTCATAAGCGATCCTCAAAAATTCTCAACGGAATTGTCTATAATTTATAAATACTCCCCATTTAAAACTGAAGCTGAATTGATGCAGCAATTCGATGGGATCTATGGAAAATGTGGTAAGATCATCAAAACTCTACAATTTTGATGGAAATATTTGTTCTCCAGTGTCTTATGAAAGACACTATACATATGTCTTCTTCTTTTTTATTCTAATATTCTTACATGAAAATACACATGGGAGTAGTCATTTATTTTCTCCATATGAGTTTTCTCTTGAGAGAATCCAAACATGAGTTACTGCAAATCCCTGCCACCGCGAGAAAGGTTTGCACTTGCACAAGCTTGGTGAAACTGATGAGAAGAAGATGTTACAGGTGGTGACCACAGAGACTTCATGGTCACTGCATCAGATAGCAAAGTTAGGAAATACTAATTGCAGTATGATATGGGGTGTTACCAGGTTTATAAGAGAGTTGGCAGCTTATAACATAATAAATCCATAATAAACATAATAAATCCATAATAAACATAATAAATCTGTGGCAGAGGTAGCAAAGGCCTTTGTAGACATTATGCTCCAGATTAATAAATGTTTCCCCTGGCTGAGCACCGGGTCTCATGCCTATAATTCAAGCACTTTGGGAGGTGGAGGTGAGAGGATTGCCTGAGTCCAGGGGTTCAAGACCAGCCTGGGCAATTTGGTGAGATACCGTCTCTACAATAAATCAAAATATTAGCTGGGTTTGGTGTGTGCCTGTAGTTCCAGCTACTTGGAAGGCTGAGGCGGACGGATCATCTGAGCCCAGCGGGTCAAGGTTGTGGTACCCATGAGTGTGCCATTGCACTCCAGCTTGGGTGACAGAATGACACCCACCCAATCTTTAAAAAAAATTTTTTTTTAAGATTAAAAAAAAAATATTTCCTCCCCATTCTTCCACCTCCACCAGCCTTTTGCTTACCATACAGAAAGCACTGTGTCTGCTGACACTTTCCAGTGCTAGTCTTTCTCCAGATAGCCACTATTTTTCATATCTATAGAAGTGAAGATAATCCTACTTTAAAGTAACCTATGTGCATTTTTCTTTTTACAACTCTTTGATTTTATGTAATGTTTATTGTAAAATTTTAAGAAATTTGTTACTGACTTGGCCTACTTTGCCTCCAAAATTTCTTTTCTAGCCTGCGGCATTTTGTTTAAAAGTGATGTGGGGTTTTGTTTTTTGTTTTTTGTATTGAGTTGGAGTCTCACTCAATTGCCTAGGCTAGAGTGCAGTAGCATGATCGTGACTGACTGCAGCCTCAATCTCCTGGACTCAGGTGATCCTTCTGCCTCAGCCTCCCAAGTACCAAGTAGCTGGAACTACAGGTACACACCACCATGCCCAGCTAATTTTTTGTAGAGATGAGGTCTCACTATGTTGCTTAGGCTATCTGAACTCCTTGGCTCAAGCAATCGTCCCACCTCAGCCTCTCAAAATGCTGGGATTACTGATGTGAGCCACCATACCTGGCTAAAAGTGATGTTTTTTGTTTTTGTTCTTGTTTTTTGAGTTGGAGTCTCACTCTGTCGCCCAGGCTAGAGTGCAGTGGCACACTCACATCCACCCCAGTGTCAACCTGCTGGGCTCCAGCAATCCTTCTGCCTCAAGTAGCCGGAACTACAGGCATGTGCTACCACGCCCGGCTAATTTTTGATTTATGGTAGAGATGAAATCTGGCCAAGTTGCCCGGGCTGGTCTTGTACCTGCGAGTTTAGGCAGTCCACTCGCCTTGGCCTCCCAAAGTGCAGGGATTACAGGCCGAGCCACTGAGCCTGGCCCCAAAAGTGATGTTTTAAGTAATTTCTTTTTGTTTTGCCATAGAGGAGAAATAGTGGCAATTAAGTAAGTATTCATTTTATTAACGTATACACTACATATATTAAGGATAGTTAATTGACTGTTAGTTGACTTTTAATTGTGAAATACTCATACAAGTATAAGAAAGGGTTTCCTGTTTCCCTGAATACTTTTCCAAATGTTTTGTGAGAATTAAGTCATTTCATCCACTAAACAACTCTGTGCTGTATGTCCCTCATGGGGTCAATTTATAGATTAGAAAAATTAGGTTTAAAGAGGTTAAGAAACTTCCCTGAAATCGCTGCATTAGTATATGGTTAATCAGGATTTAAAACCCAAGCATTTAGGCTTCAAAGTTCATGTTCTTTGCCACCATGCTGTTCTCCTTTGCGTTTAAAAACTACCCACACAAATATAATTAATTGCCCTTTAACTTTCTTTGATGATCCTGTTTGTTTTCATATCATAATCCACTTTGTAAATAATTTGAAGTTTTGGTAAATCATGCCTTGGAACAGGGGTTAGCAAATTATGGTCACAGGTCAGGTTTGGCCCCACACCCTTTTTTGTAAATAAAGTTGGATTGGAGCACAATCACACTCATTTATGTATTCTCTATGACTACTTTCATACTGCAATGGCAGAGATGAGTTGTGGGTAGTTACAACAGAGACTGTATGGCTTGCAAAGCCTAAAATATTTACTATCTGGCCCTTTACAGAAAAAGTTTGCCGACACCTGCTGTAGAGTCTAAAAACAATACCTCTTATTTGTTAAAATTTTTAAAGCTCAGCTTTGTTTTTATATGTGTTGACTTCAGTACTACCAATGAGAGCTTTACCTATAACACAAGCTTGGCTGAGGCTCCTAACAAACTTCATAATGTAAATTACAAAAAAGAGTGCCAAAGTTTGAGAATCCACATTGAAAGACTTATAATGACTTGAATAGTAAAATGCGGCACCATACTGCAGAAACTCAACACTCTTTGGCAGAGAGCGGAATTTGCTATAAGACATGTTTCTTGGCTTATCCAAAGACTTAGCTAACATATTTTTTTTTCCTGAAGTACAAAGGAAATTTTGGTCTACGGCCGACTCAGTTCCATAGATGAGATGATAGCACAGTGACTAGCATTTAGCGTATTTAAAATACTGACAAGTCAAACATCTGTTTTTCTACCAGGCACTTTACTGGTTATTTATAACTTGAAGCTTCTGCTTAGTGGAGAACCAGAATTGGATGTTAAAACTGACAAAGAAGATATACTCATGGCTGGGGCTGTTGAGGAGTGAGTATGTGTGTGTTTCACAGACTAACAGTGGTGCTGAGCTGGAGTTAGGAGCCCTGCATCCTGGCCACTGGGCCTTGACACTAAAGGCAATTCATTTTACCCCAGTTACAGATCAAGTCAGGCTAGACCAATGGTTTCCAAATTTTGTTTAAGCCTCGAGGTGACCTGGGCAGATTCTTAAGAAGTACAAGATCTGGTGCCTTATCTAAAGCTACTGAGTCAGAATCTTCTGGTAATCAAGCTAGGAAACCATTGTTTTAAGAATGTTCCCCAGGCTGGACTCAGTGGCTCAGCCTGTAATCCCAGTACTTTGGGAGACTGAGGTGAGTGGATTGCCTGAGCCCACAGGTTCGAGACCAGCCCGGGCAACTTGACGAGACCTCATGTCTACAATAAATGAAAAATTAGCTGGGCATGGTAGTGCGTGCCTGTAGTTCTGGCTTCTGGCTACTTGAAGGCTGGGGTGGAAGGATCTCCAGAGCTCAGTAGGTCATCGCTCAGGTGACTGTGAGCATACCACTGCACTCCAGCCTGGGTGATAGAATGAGACTCCAACTCAAAAAAAAAAGATGTTCCAAAGGTGATTCAGAGATGCCTGCATGTTTGGAGAATCTAAGACTTCTAAAAGAAGTTTCTAATACAATTTCTCCTATGTTGTCACTATTAAAGCTGAAAAAAGCAGCAGAGTTCATTATTCATTAGAGCTCATTAAAAACAGACAGACATCAAGATAGTGTGAAGCAAAAAAGGAATATGGCCAAATAGCAATTTTATTATTTTTTTGTCCAGAATGACCTTGTGAACTGCATATTTGCAGTTTATAGATATAGGTTGACAATTAGGGACCCATAGCAAACAGAATGAGAAGGTACTGGGAACTCTGGAAGGAAAAGTAGAAAAAAAAAGAAGTAGTAATAAAAGCTAGGTTTCTCTAAAATAACTTCATTATTTAAAACTTAGTAGCTTGAGCCTACGGTTTTTTTTAGTTTCAGAACTCAGAACTCTGGATCTAGAAGGAATTTTAAAGGCAATTTAATCCAGCATGATTTATTTTGCATATCAGTATTGTCCAGTAGAAATCTAATGAGAGCCATATGAGTGACATATTTATTCATCTTAAATTTTCCAGTAGTCACAGTTAGAAAAGTAAAAAGAAACAGGTGAAATTCATTTTCATAATGGTTTTATTTAGTACGGTAGATAAAAAACATTAGCATTTCAATTTCTTTTTTATTTATTTATTTATTTTTGAGTTGGAGTCTCACTCCATCGCCCAGGTTGGAGTCAATTTCAATATGAGATATTTTGCATTCTTTTTTTGTATAGAATCTTTGAATCTGGTGTGTTTTACACATATAACGTATATGAATTTAGATTAGTGCCCAATTGCCACAGGTAGCCAGTAGTTACTGTATTCAACCGTATGGTTGTAGACTGAGATATTAAGACCCAAGCAAATACATCAACTTAACAGAGAACTTCTTTTTCATTTCCCTTTGAGATAAAATTTAGAAAGTCTTTTCAGAGATTAAAAACTTAATGTTTGATAATACACATTTGGATGATCTTTTCTTTTTTTTCTGATGATATCTTCTCCTAATCCAGTGTGGAATCCTTAATATACACAGAAATGGAAGATTTTTCTCTTTTAGGAAAAAGTATTCAGCCTTATTGCTGCTCTACAAATGCTAGGAATCCTTTTGCCAGCATTAATATGCCAGTATCAGAAAGGAGGCCCAGAATTATCAGCACCTCCATGATTATCTTCACCTCTTCCCACACCCCTGCCCATCTACTTGCCAGCTGGTTCCCAAACTAGTATTTCCTGCTATTTAAAAGCTTTGAACACACATTTCTGAACTGTTATCTGTCAGAGTGCCTTGGCATTTCTGCACTAGCATTAGAAAACAAAACATTATTAGAGGAATAATTTGACAGCTAAGTCTTTGGAAAAATGTTCTTACTGTGTTCAGATTGTGTAGTGCAGCCAGAAGCTCCTCCAGCCACTTAGGCAGTTAATTATAAAATAAAGAAAATGAATCAGACCCAAGACATGTACAGTTTCACTTTGGCACAGAGATCACATTGGATTTTTTAATTTGTTTTTCAGCTAAATGTTTCATAGCTGAAGAACAAGAAAAGTCTCTTAAAGAAAAAGATAGGATTTTATGAGAAGGATAATTTTTTAATTTTATTTTTATTTATTTATTTTGTGTTGGTGTCTCATTCTGTCGATGAAGGATAATTTTTTTTTTTTTTTTTTTTT